TTTTTGAGACAGAGAGAGAGCATGAATCGGGGAGGGTCAGAGAGAGAGGGAGACACAGAATCAGAAACAGGCACCAGGCTCTGAGCTGTCAGCAGAGAGCCTGACGCAGGGCTCGAACTCACGGACCGTGAGATCATGATCTGAGCCGAAGTCAAACGCTTAACCGACTGAGCCACCCAGCGCCCCAAGAATTTATTGTTATTTTTGATAAATTTTTTAATGTCTATTTATTTTTGAGAGACAGAGAGAGACAGAGTGTGAGTGGGGGAGGGGCAGAGAGAGAGGGAGACACAGAATCTGAAGCAGGCTCCAGGCTCTGAGCTATCAGCACACAGCCGGATGCAAGGTTTAAACCTGTGAACTGTGAGATCATGACTTGAGCCAAAGTCGGACGCTTAACTGACTAGGCCACGCAGGCGCCCCCAGAATCAAACTTTTCAAAGAGTCCTCTACATTTCTTGTCTTCATTTTTTCACCATTGACTGTTTTATTAACTTGCTTGAATTTAGGTTCTGCCCTCATCACTCCACTGAGAAAGTAGATCTCTAGAGTTACTAATAGCTCTTATGCCAGTAAATATAATGGGCATTTTTTGATCTTGGATTTACTTTAAACTTAAATATTTAAGCATTTGACAAGGAACTATAACTTCCTTGAAACCATCTCTACTTCAACATGTCAAAAGAGACTCAAAGGCATCATAAATAGCAAACTGAAGCCATTGTTCTCCTTCTACAAGCCTTATGTTTTCTAGAAATCTAGGCACTATCCTTGTCCCCTCACGACGGTCCTGTTTCTAATTCACCAAGTTCTAAATGTTGTTCCTATCTCTTCATCTTCATCATTACATCCATCGTCCAATCTGCCACTACCTTTTGCTGGGACTGTTCTAGTAGCTCTCTGACTGCTTCTCTCAAACCCACTCTGGCCCCTATCTAGGTCTGTGACTTACTACCAGAGCTTTCTTTTTAAAGTAAAATCAATCATTTCACTTTCTTACTTAAAACCCTTTAGTGGCTTATCATTGCTCTTATAACAACAGCCCAAATATTAACCTGACCCTGCAAAGGTTGGCCATTATCTTTTTACTTTTCTGATAGTAGGCATTCAGCCAAGAGTGCTTCACCTCCTGTTCACATAAGTCACTCCCACTTTTCCTTTAGAATTCAGCTCAATTGTCACTTCCTTGGGGAAGCCCTTAAAGTTCAACTTCCCCTGACTTGGTCAGTTTCCCTTTTACATTCTTTCAGTGTACATAGAACCTCTCCTATTTGTAGTTATTACAGGTTTAAGTATACATGTATTAGTGTGGTTCTTTAATTAATATTGGACCCCATCACCAGATTCTCAGCTCCATGAGGACAGAGAACCAGGTATGTTTCTACTATCGTATCTTCAATGCCAGGCACAGTGCCTAGCACATAATGGATGTTACACAGTATTTACTGGGTGAAAGAATTATATTTAAAATGAGATATCAGTTTTTATGTACTCAATTAGCAAGGATAGGAGTAATTTTTTTTCTGGGTGACAGTTCTGCCACATTCATCACAAAGTTTGGAACAATTTTATGATCCAACATATGGAGATTAGCCAAATAAACTAAGATGTATCTACACATTGAAATATGATTGAGCATTAGAAATAACATTGAAGAGGGGCGCCTGGGTGGCTCAGTCGGTTAAGCAGCCGACTTCGGCTCAGGTCATGATCTCGCAGTCCGTGAGTTCAAGCCCCGCGTCGGGCTCTGTGCTGACAGCTCAGAGCCTGGAGCCTGTTTCAGATTCTGTGTATTCCTCTCTCTCTGACCCTCCCCCATTCATGCTCTGTCTCTCTCTGTCTCAAAATAAATAAACGTTAAAAAAAAAATTAAAAAAAAAAAAGAAATAACATTGAAGAAGCATACTTAAAGACATGAAAAGACATCCATGATATAGGATGATGCAGGGGAAACAGCAGGTTATAAAATCATATGTATAATATGATCCCATTTTTATAAATAAACAGCCATAGGAAAATAACTCAAGGAAACAGTGGTGTGACAATAAGGGTTATTTCTAAATGGTAGAATTATGAGTGATTTTTGCATCCTTATTTTTGCTTATCTGTATTTTGTGCAATAAAATACATACTCATTTTATAATAAGAAAATGGGGATTTAAAAAAGGAAAATCACACAAAAAATAAAAATGATAAAAATAAAAAAGGAGAATCACACTAAGTTGCTGTAATGATATTCTATAGATTCAAAGAAAGTCTGTTAATTAGAGATAAGAACACAATTTTTCTCAGTGACTTTCTATAACTCCTATAATATTCCTCTTCTGCTTTGTTCCTAGTGACTATAAATTAAAGAATATTTTGGGGAACTAGCAATGGAGAGATTGAGTAAAGACTGAAACTACTTGTATAAATACTAAAAATGTCAGAACAAAATATGTTTATCCCAATAAACCAACATCACATAGCCTGTAGCATTTAAAGGGAAATATGCTGTATATTTATCCTATTAATTACTTTTAAAACTAAAATAAAGATTTATCTTAAATATTTTAAAAATAATATTATGTAACAATCCTCTTCTTGGATTTAATATTTACATAAGTTTTATCATATAATTCAAAAGAAATTATTTCATGTTCATAAAACTTTTAATTAAATTCTAATTAATTTTTTTTTGTTTGAGGCAGTCTTTAAATAGTTACAATCATGTCTCTACTGACTTAATTTTCATCCATAGTCATAAATTAAAATCAAACTCTAACACACCACACTACTGACTTACTAAGTTCATTCCCCTTCACAGTTTCATCTAAGACCTTACTGGGATAAACAAAATCAAAGAATAATTGCTGAAGTATCCTTGGAACTTTTTGGTTAAGTCTCAAACTAGAAAGGGCATTAGTGATGTGGCCATCAGTTGTCATAAAAGTCATATGACAAACCCTTTATAAAAAAGCAGCTTATTTATTTTAGGATGACAATAAATTGTTCAGGATCTTAGGCAGGAAAACCACTCATTCGAATTCTGGAAAATATTCAAGTTTGAACATATTTGTATATAGCTTGCTCATTTTTGTTTAATTTATCCTATCCAATTTTAGTGGGAAAATTCTATTTATTCAAACTAACCATAATTAATATTGGGTGTTATTTTTGTGTTCACCATGTGGTTGTAATATAATTTTATGTTTGAGTCTATGTGAAATAATGCCTCATGAGAATTAGATCATTAGACTATGAAGAAATATTAAAAGCCCTGGGCAAGGGTTTTGGAAGTAGCACTGGAAATAGTTTATCATTTTTTTTTTTAATTTCAGGATTAGGTCTAATTTACTTTAGGACCAGATGGTTATGACTTTTATGACAAAGTAACACCTGTTTTTTTCTAGTTCTTAATTATTAAGAGGAATGACAGTGAACTAATTTTTTAAATGAAATATGCATTATTTGAAATCAATCACACTAGAACTATTCAAATAGGCCTTGAGAAGTATTATATTTAATAAACAATAAGGGAATGGCCACTGTATTATGCAAAATGGAACATTATTTACTTATTTTTTTATAATAATTCAAAAGTAAGCACTCTTTATCTGCATAGGTTTCTTGCAGCAAATGCCAAAAAAAATGATTTATGGTCTTTTTGATTAAAACAAAAAACTCAGTACACGTCACTAGGCATATAGTAAGCAAATGGAAGGTACTAGCTTGCATAATATGAAGTGTTATCTCCAGATAACAACATGTTCCCAATAGGTAGATTTATTAATTCCATCATGCCTTTCATTGAAATGGTTATACACAGATGGACAGGCATCACACACACATACACACGCACACGCACACGCACATGCACACGCATCAGTCAAACTTCATAGAGATGGAGCAGTTTCATTCAATAATTACAAGAACAGAAAGGGGAAAAATTCATCACAAATAGGCAAAAGCAATGTAGGGTATTGGGGCTGAAACATACAGATACAATCTGGATCTCAGAAGGATAAGAAATGTGAAGGAACCTAATGGCAGTCTGATGAATGATGGGGTAAAAAAGAGAACAGAAAATTTTCTTCATAGTTAGTATCTCTGATAAGTCATTGTCAACTAGGTAGTGCTGATGGGAAAACAGGAGAGATTAGGAGAGGATAACGGCCCATTTCCTACCGTGGGGATTGCACACAGTAAAGGTCTTTTGGTCAATGTTTGCACATTTATTTGGGATCTATTTTTTAATGGGAGTAAGCATTAAATTTAGAAGATTAGCACCAAGAATGGCAACATTTCTTCTACATGGGGCTGAAGAAATAAATTTGGGAAAGCATTCCTTTAGTTTGACTTGTTCTCTTGTCCTTTCTATTTCCCATCTTAAGATTGCTATTGCCTGGGAAATATAGGTCCCTTTTTAAGAAGTTTTCAAAATACCTAAAGTTTAATTATCTGGTCAAGGGAGATAAAAATTATCATCCATATAAGCTCAGTAAGATATAGAGCTACAATGTGAACCTAGGTCCAGAAGTTCTCACTTCGTTTTCATTAAATATTAATCGAGAATAAATATGTGTCTGCAATTATACTAAGTGCTAACACAACAGGGAGATTTATATTAACTTATTTTAACCAAACTAAAAATAATACAATTTAGGCAACTCTCCAGATTTCAGAACTCTGTAGATCAGTTAAAACAATAACTTCCAGAAAAGGAATTAGGCCTAAAATTAACTAGTATATTGCTTCCTTAGGAGGAAACTACCATGATTCTTTACTTCTAATAATATGCCATTCCAGATAGTGTATAGATGTCAGAGAAAGCACAGCAAAAAGAAACAGAATATGTAGATGATATCAAACAAAGAGAACAACAGACCACTAGCTGATTATCCCACCTGTTGACTAGATAGTCCCAGTTGAGTTGAATCCAATTCCAGGCCATGGTCTTCCCATAGCTGTTATATGAGATATATCGGATGACTGTAAACACATCCTGAGTTTTAATAAGATTTGGGTCCTTGAGAAAATCCAAATATCTAAGAAAATCCAAAGAGAAAAACAATTCAAATTTTAGCTATTAACTTTTAAAAATTAACTGCATTTATTGAATAAAAGCACTTCACCCACTTTTTATCCCACTGGGGAAAAAAAAAGGGAGCCAGTAAATTAAGGGAAAGTATTTATACTTTTATTTTCTAGAGGATAATAGTCACATCTTATTTGTTCTTCCTTAGATTGTAGGAAACAACCTTTTAACATAACCTATATGGTTAGATTAATTACCTATAATTATAGTATAATGCAAATAAGTCCAAGATAAATTAAGTGACCAAATAAATAGATTTTTTATTAACTTTATGCCATGGCTGTACCTAGAGGGCATCCCTTGTCATACTCTAGACCAGTGAACTTCCAGAAACTGCACTTTAGTGGTGGTCCTGAATTTTTGTGTAACTTATCTTTTATCCTCTAATTCATAAGAGTCTTAGTAAGGCATGTAAGCACTTGCTAATTTTCTCATCTGATAGAACAATGCCATCAAAATAATGGATCAATATCATGTTTTATGGACTGGCAAAACGATCAAGTTCTTGATAGACTATTTTAGGGCAGCGAGAAGGAGAATTGGCATCTACTTTGAGATAAGATGGTGAAAAAGTATTATTGGCTCTGCCAGGTGGATACAAGGCATTGCCAATAGTCCTTACAAATTGGGTATTGCATTGTAATTTCCCATTTATACTGTGCCTCTCTCATGAGCTATAAGCTTCTCAAGGATAGATATCACATCTTATTCATTTTTATTCCCACAGTTTATAGACCTATATATAGAAAGGACATCCTCAGTGTTGGTTAAATGAATGAAGTAAATAACTCAGAAACCATAACTCTACAACAAATGAATGAAGACAGATGTTAGTTGATTTGGAGGCATAGGTGTAGTGGGAGAAGATTCATAGATGGTCTTCAAGCAGTCTTTCTGAGTGGAATATAAATGTGTGTGTGTGTGTGTGTGTGTGTGTGTGCGCGCGCGCGCGCGCATATCGTGGCAGATACTCCTTCTCTGCTGACAGAAACAATTTTGTTCTGGGCTTGGATCAAGGTATCCTTGATCCTAGGGAAGTAGGTAGGCTCCTACCCCAGCCTCAGAGTATGACGATGGCCCAAATCAGTCAAAGGAATTCAAGTTCTTCCTAGTCAGCAAATGATCAAGTGGTAGACCTAGAGTATAACCCAGAATGATCAAGTGTGATCCAGTTCTAGTTATGAGGGGAAGTGGAGATAATTCAACTTTAGCATAAAAGAAACTTGTGAGGAGAAACTCTTTGCTCTTGTTCTGCTTTCACTTAACATATTTGTGTGAAGACAAAATACTTGGAGCTCTAGAAGTTATGAGACATCCAATATGTTGAGGATGGCAGAATAGAAAGAGAAACACCCCAGGTCCTGGATGAAAATATTGAACCACTGCTCACAACTAGAAACTGCCTACTTCCAGCATGTTTTCATGTGAGGTTACACTTCTTTATTCCACTCTTACATGGATATTTTGTTTCTTGCTGGGAAAATATGTTTTAATAGATGTTCTCGGAAATGTATCTTACTTTAATTAGCATCTTAAAGTGACACATAAGCCATCAAATGCCATTCATATAAGTGAAGAAAAAAGTTACCTGGACAGAAGAGTAACATTCTTCACTGATGCTAATCCATACAGTAGTTTTTCTTTTTCCTGAGCTAATGAAGTTTTCTGGTATTGATCAAGAGTATAGTTCCATGAAGTCTCATTACCAGAGTTCTGCATTCCATACCGATATACCAGAAGCCTGAGGTTTACAGGAAGCCTAGAAGAAGAAACAGTGTTTCAGAGGTTTAAAGTCTTCATTTCTAAGTTTGAAGGCCTCTAGAAATGAACACATGCTGGACAGTCACCTTACAGTCCCACTCAGCCACTGCTGAAATAATTGGGTAGCATTGTCCAAAGCTTCTCGATCTCCCATCTTGCACGCAAGCCCTAATACGGAAGCACGTAGTAACCTTAAAAAACAAACACACACAAAGCTGGGGCCTTGAGCACTTTTTAACATGTTTTAACATACACTGACAAATAATTAAGTGAAAATTTAAAAATGTAAGAACTAACTTTGTAAGGTGGTCTCCGATATCATTCCATTCCAGGAAATCTGCAATGGGCTTCACTTGACTCTGGAAGTATTTCTGAAATAAAAGCACCATGTACAGTGAGTAAGAATTTACTGTTTATCAAGTTTCTTAATAATTATAATATAAAGCCCCTGTTGTAATCTTCTTTCATACTAGTCCAGAGAACTTTGGGTCTCTCCTTAGGGAAGGGACATATTCAGTTCTATCACATTGCAAATTTGCTTCAGTCCTGAAGATAAGAACATCCTGGGTGATTCTCTAATGTTTTGTAAAACGTTGGGTAAGCCCCTTTTAAGCTCTACTTTTTAGTAAACATTTGTGATAAGTAGAGTAACACCTGACCTACCTACTGCACTAAGAAGATTAATCAAGTAGTGATGACATTAAAATAGTGATAACTAATGTATGTATATTGCTTTTGGATTTACAAAGGGTTTTTATTTTATATGGTCTGCACTATCCCATTGCCATGGACAGTGAAGTGCTGACATTCCTATTGTATGAAAGAAATGAAGATTCACAAATATTAAAACATTTGTCCAAGTTATTGCATTTAGTAAGTAGAAGAGCTACAGATTTGAATCCAGAATTTCCTTAAAATCGCAAGTGACCTAGCAAAGTGTGTCAGAAATCACAAAACAAAGTAATCAGAATGACTAGCCCATCATAAACTCTCAAAGTGGAAATAACAGCAGTAAGAATAAGGAAATATAATGTTATATTTTGGTAAGAATAAATTCACTTTAACATTGACAAGTCCATTAAAAATAAGATCTAGTTAGTATCTTGTCTATTTTAACTAAAATATTAATTCTTGTATTCTTTCCAACACTAAAATATATCATTATGTGGTATACTGAACCAGAAATACGGACATACTTCAAGTTGGAAAAAAATAGAGATAGCATCTCTTTGGTTTGACTAGTCATGTCATTGTACTTTCCTTTCATTTCACTTGGCAGGTCGATGTGCTTTGGAAGCTCCTTCTCTCAGAAATCTCCCTACTCTTCTAATTGCTACACATTTACTTTCATAAGATCTAGCATTAACATCACCTCAATCACAGGGTAAAGCTCTTTATCATCTTCAAACATGCTAATGATATAGGTTACGGCTGAAATTGCTCTCTGCCATGGTAAAAAATCTTCTTCCATTCTGAGATACTTGGTCAAGTTTAGAGCCATCTTATAATCTAGAAGTTGAGCTCTAAGGAAGAGAAAAAAAAAAACCAGTTAATTTAAAACCATAGACTAGTACTCATTTGACTGAAAGTACTCATATGGAAATCACAGAATTCAACATTAATGAGAATCCTTCTATTAACAATTAAGAAAATGGATTTATTTGGGGGGGGGCAAGTCAAAGAGGTTTGTTCACATGATGCATTAGTGCTTTCATACTTTCAGTAGTAAAGTGGAAGACAGAATATTGAAAAGTACATTTGAAAAATTGCTGAGGTAAAATTTTGGATAAAAGCCATTTAGCTATGGCTAATATTGATGGACAGATATAAGCTGATTGTAATATACATATGTACCGTGATAAATATATCTTATGGAAATTACATTTGATGTGAAGAAGCATGAATGACAACACTCATGAATTATGAATACTTAAAACATTCCAATTTAACTTATATTGCCCATTAAAACATCTTTTTCATATACTTCCAAGTAACACTAATAAATATAGATTTTGTTCTTCCACAAAATCTGAAGTTTCTATCGACATTTCAAAGTTTAAAGAATCCAATTTCTTCCTCCTTAAAAGGGATTCTAGAGCCTTTTGAAATACTGTTCTCAGAAATCTGTTATGCCTCACATTTTAGACTAGGTTTTAAAAAAGAACCTTAGATGGGAATCCTGTCTTTTCAAATTACATTTTGAAAGTTTAAGTTAAATAATAAATGTTAAATTATTGAATTAGTAATATTGATGTGTTGGCTATTATGTTTGAAATTATTTTGTGAATGAATAAGACAGTAAATATATCTTGATTTCTTCCCAAGAGTTTGATTACAGGATGTACTAATATTGGACAGATAGAGAAGAATACAAATCTTTGATATCATTTGATTTACATAATGAGATATGATACACAGCTTGTTTTCAGTTCAGAGAGTTGATTTCCCCTATTTTCTCAGTTCCTGATCTTATTTAGAAGGAATTATATTTTGAAGCTTTCAACCTCCCTTAATAATAGTATAAATAATATGGAGAAATGGTGTGTTTTATTCAGAATGTTGGTTAAGTAAAAAAAAAAAATGTAGAATTTTGTGTTGATACTTGAAACTTGAGAATTTTCTAATTTTAATGATTCTCTATTTTCCCTGGTGGATAGAGCAACAACCATGTCCAGTTGGTGATTTTTTAAGGTGGTTATGAAGAATAGTTGTTGCTCTGAGGATCAATTTAGCGAAAAGGACAATGAAAGTTTAGGAAGGATGACAGATTGTTTGGTCAGAAGCCAAGTGGTCTGTACATTTCAGATAGGTGAAGATTGGAAGGAATGAGTCTTGGTTACTAAGGCCAGAAGAATTGGCTAATTAGGTAGCATAAGTAGAAGTAAGAAGGGAATACCATGTATTCAAATGTTGAAAATCAATATCCTATCCCATTGCCTTATATTTTCCAACATGCTTGATAGCTATGCAACAGTTCCATTTTGGTATCACTTGTTTTCTTTAAGTCTGAGTCATATGGTCAGAACGCTGGACTGGGAGTGAATTTTTGCTGATTATTATAGGGATGACATTTTGAGAAATTAGCCGATGCACCTTTCTTTTTCCACAAATTATGTTACTCCACAGCTCCTACTGGTATTTGATAACTCCAGAGGAAGAGCAGCATCATTTAACGTTTATTTATTTTTGAGAGACAGACTGAGACAGAGTGTGAGCGGGGGTAGGGCAGAGGGGGACACAGAATCCGAAGCAGGCTCCAGGCTCTGAGCTGTCAGCACAGAGTCCCACACAGGGCTTGAACTCATGAGCCCCGAGATCATGACCTCAGCTGAAGTCGGACTCTTAACCTAGGTGCCCTGAAGAGCAGTATCATTTAGAACTATGATTCTCAAATTTGAGCATACATCAGCAACACCTGGAAAGTTCATTCAATCACATACTCCTGATTTAGCAGGGGTTCTGATTTGGCAGATTTGGAGTAGAGCCTAAGAATCTGAATTTCTCACAAGCTCCTAGGTAGTATTGATACTGCTGGGACCACATGTGAAGACCTGCTTTTGAGAACAAAGTCATCTCTAGTGCCCTTCTCACATCCCCTTACAGTCCTGTGTTGGCTCACAGCTGCCACCTTCTTCAGAGACTAGCCCTTGGCCAAATACAGCCATCCTACCTAAAAGGTTATGCAATCCCCGCCCCTGGCCATTGATTTTAGGATTCAGGAATAAAATAAGCCAACTTGTTTCCCTCAAGTTGGACCCACTCTTCAGCATAATTCATAGCTTTCTAGTGGAATCTAGCAAAGCTCGACTCCATCTGAGACCATATTATGGCTTAGCTTTTTATCCCTGTCCCATTCTGTTTCTCATACTCCCTATCTCATGAGAGTTCTCTCTCAATAAACTACACATACATTAACCCACATTTCATACTCTATTTCTAGAAAGGGAACTCAACCTAGGATATCATTCTTATGCAACTTTGAGTCTCAAATTCCATTAGTTAAATCCATAGACATACAGCATTTCTGAAAGCTAGATGTGGTTAAGAATTTTCTTTATTCAAAAATCATCCAGGGGCACCTGGGTGACTCAGTCAGTTGAATGTTCGATTCTTGATTTCGGCTCAGGTCATGATCTCAGGTTCATGAGATGGAGCCATGCGTTGGGATTTGCACTGAAAGTGTGGAGCCTGCTTGGGATTCTCTCTCTCTCCCTCTCCCTCTCCTCTGCTCACATTCTCTCTCTCTCTCTCAAAATCAATAAACATTAAAAAAAAAAATCTTCCATCAATCTAGCAGAAGCCTAGCTTGATGGACTTAAACTGTCCTATAATCCAGAGAAGAGGGAAGCTAAAACTTAAAGTTTCCACCAAACTCAATGGCCAAGAGGACAAGCAGGTCTAATGAGAGAATTCTTGCTCTCCTATCTTTGGCTAGGGCAGCCAGGAAGTTTGGGGAATCCTGTAACAAAGGGTTTGTTTTTGCTTCCCTGGATGTGACCTGGAAAGACAGCATAGTCCTCAGAGAAGCTGAGGTAAGCATAGTGTCTTGCCAAACATTACTCTTTACTGGGACATTAGAAACAGTTCAGAGAGGTGCCTGGGTGGAAGGAACTGACCTCATGTGCTGATGTTCCCCTGCAAAGCCTTGGGTGGTGTGGAGAATTTCAAAAGTTCCCATGTGTCTGATCTCTCAGGGTTCACTTGCCAATTAAATTCTAATTTCTGGCTTAAAACAGTCTCTTTGCAAACAAATAGATCCTTTTTGGAGTCTTAGTTGATTACTTCTCCTTCTTTAAAAGGGAGTCCATGGGCGGTGTTGGGGTGTGGGGGAGATTGGGAGGGTGAGGTTGCTTATCCAGGTCTGTGTTGTGCTCTGGTCACCTCTCAAACACCTATAAAATGGTAAAACTAGTGACCTAGAGATCTGTAACCTGGCATAGCTGATGTTCACTGGCTGTCTTTATTTGCTAACCTGCTCCTCACTTCGGATGTCACAGGAGCCACTGCTCTGTGAAGCCTGGCTGAAATTCTGTCCATATCATTAGCTTAGGTGGCCCTTTAAGCCATCCTTTCTGCCCTTCTTCACCTAGAGACCCCTGCTCCCGCCCACTGGCTAGCTAGCCAGTACTCTCTGCTTTCCCTTATGTTACTCTCCTGGCTGTAGCACAAAGTGGGCCACAGAGCACAATATAAGCTACTGAAAAGGAAAAACCTACGGTAACAGGTGGACAAAAAAAAAAAAAAAAAAAAAAAAAAAAAAAAAAAAAAAAAAAAAAAAGGATTCTTTCTGTCTCAGTTTTGGCAAGGCCCCTTGCCTCACCCCCCTTGGCCTAAATCCCAAAGTAAGATTCAGGCCCACCAAATTGGAACTAACATGGTCAGGATAGATTTTTGTGATTCTTAGCTGATAACCCACCACTAGCCTATTACAGGCATTGGAGAGGCTAGGGGGAGAGAGGCATTTTAAAAGAAGCCTTTAGGGGGCCACCTAGGTGGCTCAGTCGATTTAGCATCCAACTTCAGCTCAGGTCATGATCTCACGGTGTGTGGGTTTGAGCCCCGTGTCGGGCTCTGTACTGACAGCTCAGAGCCTGGAGCCTGCTTCGGATTCTGTGTCTCCCTCTCTCTCTGTCCCACCCCCACCCACACTCTGTCTCTTTCTCTCTCTCTCTCAAAAATAAATAAACATTAAAAAAATTTTTTTAATAAAAATAAAAGAGGGCTTTTGGGAGCGCTGTCAGTGTCCTGTGAATGCTCTCCTTCCACAGGGGAAAGAGGGATACAAGAGGCTTTTCCCCTTATGTCAAGCTTAGGAAAAGAGGCTTTAATGAGACCACTTGACGAGTTTTACCTGTGTAACCCGGAGTTTGGAGGCACAGTGGCCTGGCGTCTGATACCCCAAGAAATCTAAAGGATAAGAGACTATGGTTGACTACTGCTCTGGCCTCACAGTGAAGAGATAAGACTGCATGGGGTGGCCCATCCTTCCAGACTATGCTGGGAGAAAAGATACATGAATACTTCCTGTGGAGCAGAGGTGGTTCTGAGGTTTTCACTTGCTCACCTCAAGGAACTGCAGGAGAAAGACTCTTAGCAATAAAAATGGGTGTGGATGGCAAACACCCGAAGAAAACAGCACACCAGGAAAAGAGTCAGTATTCAACATCTACGAAGTTCAGACGGCACCAAATGTGGACAGTATGTCAGGCTCTTTCTTCCCTTCACCTGCTCTCCCTTCTGGCTCTCCTTGCCTTAGGTCTGGAGGAAGCAGAGGCAGCCCAGTAAGGGCGGGGAAAAGTAGAAGTTCCATGCCGAACAATGGGGAGGACATCAAGCACCTTGTTCCTGCTGCAGGTAGCCGGCCTACAACCTGCCTGAGTTGGGGGCAGGGAGGAACTTTAAAGGAAGTTGGTAACTTTGATGGTTTTACTGGACTGGCCATCTACTCAAACTGAGCCTGTCTGGGGGACTTGAAGCGTTGCAAGAATTTTTATTCCTTGTCTTAGACAAATGTACCCATCTGGATATTCATCCAGGGCAGTAAGAGTACTGGCTCCTCAAATTTGGGGACAGGGGAATCAAGAATGCATTTATTTTTAGATGTGCTCTTTTAGTCCTGCTTATGAAACATGATAGTTACATTTCTCTTTGAACAACCGAGCGGAACTGCATGAATTCTTATCCTACCCCAGGCACTTACCTGTGTAACTCCTTTTTTCTCCCTAAAGCTTCAGAGTGATCTGAATGTGTTGTGTGTGAATGTGATGTGTTTCTCCTTTTTTCTCCCTAAAGCTTCAGAGTGATCTGTACCTGGCTGCAGTCAACACTAGTGGACTCTGTTTCCCTGAGTCTTGTTTTCCTCATGTGTTACAGAAAGAAATTGGGTGATAGCTCAATAGCCCAGGTGGTAGCTCAGGTATTTTCCAGATGGGTTGCTGTGTGACTCTACACACTTTTTGGTTTTCAGATTTGTTTCACCTTCTTCCTTTCCTTATCTCTTCAAAATTTTACGGGGCTGTGGCCGAGGAGCTGAGCAAATGTGAGAAAGTCTTTCAATTCCATGAGTTATTTGCTTTATACACAGTTCCCCAGAGAGAGCTGTTCAAGAGGCTTTCACTTCTTAAAGCAAAAAGAACTGTCTGCATTGTGTTGTGATGGGAATTAAACCATAAAGAAAGATACTGCCATTCTGTGTAATTTCTAACAGCCAAGAAGATGCCAAGCTTTGGAAACGGTCATGATGCATTCAGAGGAGAGTTTCCCCCAAAAAGAATTCTTAATGGTTCTATTATGTTTTAAAATATTATCTTCCTTTACCACTTAATTTCCCAGGCCTGTGCAGTGTCTGGGACAGGCAAGCGGTACGCTTTAATTAAGTACTTGCTACAGGCCAGACATTGTTTGGGGCGCTTTATGCACATTATTTCATTTATTTCTTACAAGTCTCACCAGGTCACCTCCATTCTACTCAAGAGTCAGAGAGAGGTTAAGAAATTTACTTACGGTTACACAGAACCAAGATTTTCATCTGGTTCCCCAGCTCCTTTTTTAGCCCTACTCATTCCCTCCTTTAAAACTGTCGAGAAGGGGGGCGCCTGGGTGGTGCAGTCGGTTAAGCGTCCGACTTCAGCCGGGTCACGATCTCGCGGTCCGCGAGTTCGAGCCCCGCGTCGGGCTCTGGGTTGGTGGCTCGGAGCCTGGAGCCTGTTTCCGATTCTGTGTCTCCCTCTCTCTCTGCCCCTCCCCCATTCACGCTCTGTCTCTCTCTGTCCCAAAAATAAATAAAAAAAACGTTGAAAAAAAAAAAAAAAACTGTCGAGAAGGTTTTCTGACTTCCAGTGTATTATCGAGGAAGTCTGTGTAAAATAGTTCTCTCATTCCTTTAATGCTGGCATACTATCCCTCAGGTATGCATTCAGCTCATATTTAATGAGCTTCTGCCATGGGCCAGTCACAGGAGCTGGGAATAAAATACACCGGGAACATGATCTGGGCTCCTACCCTCACCAACTTACAGTTTGGTAGCTTGGTAGGTGAGATGGACAATTAATAAGAAATGACCATATCATATCGTGGTGAAATACAGAGTCCGCAAAAGGGACACCCAACCCAGACAAAGGGGCCAGTGAAGGCTTTTTTTATGTCTAGGATGAGGCCACTACAAAGCCACGAAACCAGTGGCTGTGTCCCTAGCTCCTACAAGTATCAGAAATTCAACAAATACCAGTTGAATTAGTGGTGTTAGACTACTTGAAAACAAAACAAAACAAAACAACCCTCAAAGGTACTGTGGTTACTACTCCTCCATTTCCCTAATATATGTTGATAATTTTTTTTTTTCTAAGCGTAGGTTACGTTCAAGCCATGGGGAAAAAAAAAAAGTCAAATTTCTTAAACGGTACCTTAGTTCTGATCAATCCTAGAGCACCATGTTTCATTCTTTTTACCTTGATTACTTCAAGATTTGACAACTCTGGCCATAAAATGATACAATGGGCTTAGTTAGGCTCATAGAACTAAGTTAATGAAACACATTGTAATTTTATTAAATCAAATTATGCAAGTGCACTTTTGAGCATTTGCAAATGTCACTCCTAATTAGCTCAAGGGCTCTGGTATAGTCAAACCCTACTCAAAGGTGAGTTTTTGTGGGTCTGATAAGAGCTAATATCAGTATTTGGGCTATGAGGCTTATATGGGTTTTTAAAAAGAGAGTTAAGGAAAACAATAATGTTATAAATAGTGGCTTTGGATATTTTAAGCTATAACTAATACTTGAACATTGTTGCAACTCATTAAGAAAAGAGATTTGGGATACAATCCATAGTATTTTAAATAGTCTAAACTCATTCCAAAATTCACCTTGCCAAGGCAAAAGCATCATCGATAAGACTTGCGCGGTCAGCAGAAGAAAACCCCTGGGAAGAAGAAGAAAATGAGGTAAGAAGCACAATTTCTAAAACAAAGAATGTTGAAAAAAATTAATATCATTCAAGCTGTTGTTCTTAGAACAAAAATAAAACAATTCACAACCATTGCTACTCTTACCTTGTGGTTGAAGGAAAGATTGGTAGCTATCCATTCCCAAGTTGGTACTTCATAATTTACACGATAAAACCCAATATGATCTGGGTTTATTTTGAGAAAAACATTTCCAGCAGGATTAGAAGAGTTCAAAGTGATTCCTGTGGTAGTAAATAAACACTAATGAGAAACATGTTTGCATATACTGTAAACACAGAGAAATTAGGCCCAGAGGGTCAGAAGAAAAGAAAAGAAATATCAGCTCAAGGAGTCAAGTTTGATTTGGATCCAAAGCCCCAAAGCCTAATTCTTATTTAGTTGCCTAATTTTAGAATGTCACTGTAGTACGTGAGCTGAAAAAGAATAACTTATGTAAATAAGCGTCCTGTGATTTGTGACTTATACTTCTTACTGGTAGTAGCTTGCCAAAGGAGTGAAATAATTCTGTGCTTGTCAATCCTTCAATAAAAGTAAACAATGCCCAAAGACAGAGTGGTTCGTGCTTCTGGGGGTAGTCTGCATATTTCTAATCGTGATGGATGAATTACACAAAGAATATGCACTGGGCAGCCTGGCGAGGCGATAAAAATGTAAACATTTCAAAGAATACTTTATTTATTAAAATCAACATTCAAATTGATGGAAATGGCTATTGCCTAGCAGAACAATGATTTGAGCATCAGTAATGCTTTTAAAATGTCAAGAAGGCTCGCAATAGAACTGAAATCCAAATACAACATTCTTGATTTTGTAATCCATTTCATACTTGCTCTTCCAATTTTATTTATCTTTGTAAAGTCTTCTGTTTCCTTATTTCAGTTGATCACATCAATGCTTTTCAGCAATGGATTTGCCAAATGAACTCTCTTTCTAAAGTAGCATCCAGTATTTACAGAGGGCTCTAGTATATAGATTTTAGAAGCTCAGCATTGAAGGAACAGAGACTTAAGTGTAAGATTAAAAAAAATTCACTTAAAATAATAGCTGTGGGGGGCGCCTGGGTGGCGCAGTCGGTTAAGCGTCCGACTTCAGCCAGGTCACGATCTCGCGGTCAGTGAGTTCGAGCCCCGCGTCAGGTTCTGGGCTGATGGCTCAGAGCCTGGAGCCTGTTTCTGATTCTGTGTCTCCCTCTCTCTCTGCCCCTCCCCCGTTCATGCTCTGTCTCTCTCTGTCCCCAAAAAAATAAATAAACGTTGAAAAATAACAGTTGTGCTCTGACACGACCAGTATTTATTTGTTAGTGTTACTCCTATACTCTTTAATTCATACACTCTCTCGTTTGCATGGACAATATGCAGTGTAAGTAATGGTGTGAGAATAGTATATTTGAAAATTTTCAATTTTAATGTAGTGAGGATGTAGGATGTGATATCGGAAAATAGAAGATGAAGCTGGAAATAAAGTCTGGCTCTTCAAAGTACAAGAGCCACATGCCATGTGAAGGACTCCGTCTTCTGAGAGACAGAGAAGATTTTTAAGCAGGGAAATACCATGCTCACGTCTGCTTCATAGAAAGATACCTTTGCTAGTGGTGTGAGAGAGATATTGGGAGGAGATTTAGAGTCTCCTGTAATAACGTAGGGCAAGGGGGAATAAGGGCTTACTCTAATGTGGAGGCAACGAAAAAAGAAAAGGAAGTGATGCATTCAAGAGACACATCACAGGTTAAAAGCAACAGTTGGTTTTCTTGATGTGGAAAGTCAGAGGAGAGGAAAGTGGCTTGCATGATTGGATAAATAATGATGTTGCCATTACGGAGTAGAGGAAGATGAGTTAGTCTGGGAGGAAAGATGATTTAAATTTTGGAAGTGTTCACGAGGGTTGGAAGATCTCCAGGACGCAGTAGTTTTTCATAATACATGAGTAAGCTCTTCAGCAAGACAATACTTTTTTTTAGGAGCGTTCAGAGGAGGTACTTGACAAATTATAAACCTTTACCTCACTCACGTAGTATTTATCTTTCTTTGTCATTCTCCCATGGACAGGTTGTTGAAAGGAAGCTAATCTTTTGGCAACCGTACACTTTGGATGTTTGGATCTGGAGGAGAGCCTCTTGCTAAGCACAGAGACATATGTTACAGGAGAAAGAGCATGAACTTTCGAGTCTGACAGATCTAGGATAAAACCCTTGCTCTGTGACTGACTAGCTGTGTGATCTTGGCCAAATCACTTGACCTCTCTGTGTCCCCAGTTCACCATAAGGGAAATAGGGATAAAAATCCCTCACAGGACTGTTGTGAAGATTAAATAAGATAACATCAGTAAAGCGTTGGTCACACACTGATTTGTCCAACAGATGGTAGCTATCCTCATTATTATGAAAGGGGATATGGCACAGTTCTATAAATAGCAAGGCAAATATAAATAACATTGAGAAGTTCCTGGCAATCCATCTAAATACTGCAGTATTTTAGTGTGCTTTATATATACCTAGTTAAGCCTGTCTCGGGTTACTGTGATTTTTCTCACTTTATAGATGAGGAAGCTGAGATCCAGGAAGTCAGTAGTTATGGACTTTCCAAGTTCATGCTACCTTCAGAACAGTTGTCAACAGCAAAAGACTGTTGGGTTGTTTAGTTGCATAGTGAAGTAAGTAGGACTAAAAATACTGGTGGCCATTCCCTGCGGCACATGGAAGTCAGGGCATATGTTTCCTTTCCTTTCTCCACTTACCATTATTATTTTTTTTTTTTTCTGATTTTAACGGTTGTATGTGTTCCTTACAGTTCCAAATATGTATTTGGAAGATAACAAAAAAAAGCATAATGAAGAATATAAAAATTACCCACCACTAGTTAATGTAATACTTATTTCTACTGCATGTGTGTTGTCTGTATATGTGCATAAACACGCACACAGTACACATAATGGAACTTTGCTGTTTTTAGGATTTGTAATCCTTTTCATTTAAAAGTATATTTAGGGGGCGTTTGGGTGGCTCAGTCTGTTAAGCAACCAACTCTTGATTTGGGCTCAGGTCATGATCTCTTGGTTCAGTTCATGAGTTCGAGCCCCGCATCGGGCTCTGCGCTGACAGCATGGAACCTGCTTGGGAGATTCTCTCTCTCCCTCCATCCTCCCTCTCTCTTTCTCCCTCTTTCTCTGCCCCTCCCTCACTCTTGCTCTCTCACTCTTTCAAAATAAATAAACTTAAAAAAAATGTATATTGTAAACACCTTGAAATTTTGTTTTCTATGCAGAGATCCCCCACTATCAGGGGGAAAGTAATGCATTCCTGTGAAACCTTTCATAAGCTGAAATGACATAGAAGAGTATCTCCCACTTTCTAAAAGTCTGTATAATACCACTTTGTTTCTACAAAGGATCTACGTCAGTACCTGTTTTTGCTAATCGAAAGAAATCCAAAGAGCACGTTCATTTTTATAAAAAAAGTCATTACCATACCAATATAGGTCTTGTTTTAACATGAAATGGCAGAATATGAACTTTCAGAAAGCACGGAATACCTGTATGTGAAATGGAAATTTAATGGCCACATAACAACCTGTCATTCAATTTATAAATCGTCTTGTTCTGTTTCTTGCTAGTCTTATGTATAAAAGTGTTGCATGAATTCTTTCTAGGTAGGAGTTCTCTCTAGAAAATTCCCTTTTTCTTTTATTTGTCTGGATGGTGGAGAAGACGGATAATTCCTTTTTCACAATTTCATCCAGGGGCTAATTAATTTCAATCCAGATAACTTCAGTAACAGAACTCATGTAACAGTTCTTTAATACAGGCATACCTCACTTTATTGAAATTTGCTTCATTGTGCTTTGCAGATACTACCTTTTTTTTTTTTTTTTTTTTTTTTTTTTTTTTTTTTTACAGATTGAAGGTTTGTGGCAACCCTCCATGGAGTGAGTCCATTGGCATCATTTTTCCAAGAGCACTTGCTCACCTGTGTCTCTGTGTCACATTTGGGTAATCCTTGCAACATTTTAAACTTTTTCATTATTACTGTATTTGTTATGGTGATCTGTGCTCAGTGATTATGACTCACTGAAAGCTCAGATAATGGTTAGTAAATGTAGCAATAAAGTATTGTTTTGATTAAGGTATATCCATTGTTTTTTAGATATAATGCTATTGCACACTTAACAGACTACAGTATAGCGTAAATGTAACTTTTATGTTATGTAGTAGGAAACCAAAAGATCTGTTTGACTTCCTTTACTGCTATATTCACTCTGTTGTGGTAGTCTAGAGCCAAACCCACAGTATCTCTGAGATGTGCAGGTATACCATTTTATATAAATAGTTATAACAAACTTTAGACAACTAGACTATCAAGCTTGTGAGAGTTTGATAATTGTAGAGAAAGAAACATTTTTCTTTAGTGATGTAAATGCTTTGTTGCATTGAACTTTTTTTAAATTTTTTTTAACGTTTATTTATTTTTGAGACAGAGAGACAGAGATGAAGTTTCAGGGAGGGGCAGAGAGAGAGGGAGAGTTTAGAGACCTGAACAGGCTCCAGGCTCTGGAGCAGTCAGCACAGAGCCTGACGCTGGGGCTCAACTCAATGGGACTCAGGAGATCATGACCTGAGCCAATGATCGCTGAATCCAACCGAGCCACCTGAAAGGTTCTGCTGTATTTCTCGAAATTTTTAAGGCAAATCTTTTTTCTTGCATAAATGGACAGTTTGTGCACTACCAATAGGCAAAACAAGAGCTGAAAATACAAAAGTAGTAATTCTTGACTAATGACACACAATTTACACTTGGGGAGCTAAAAATTTCTAGTAGGATGCAGTATCAGAATTTAGAGTCAAGGAAGAAAGCTTTACTCTCTTAAACTAAGATTAACATGATCTATTATAAAATTGGCTGAAGCTATACATTTTAACAAATCACTTATTTAAGAAAATATTAATGATTGTGCTAGTAACAATTATAGAGTCCCTCCTAATCTCAGCAAGTGGCTTAAAGAATCTCCTGAGGGGCTTGGCATAGTCGGGTTGTCGTCCCCAACCAGGTCACGATCTCACGGGTCCTGAGTGTCTGAGCCCCGCCAGCTGGCTCTGGGATTGATGGCCTCAGGAGCCTGAGCCTGCCTGATTCCCAGGCCTTCTGGCCCCTGCCTGCCTGGCTCTGTCTCCCTCTCTGTCCCAAAAAATAAAATAAACGTTGAAAAAAAAATTAAAAAAAAAAAAAAAA